TCTTTCCCTGGGGTTCACAGCTGCGCAGTCCCCTACATCTCTCATACCTTCTCCATCCTCTTTATTGATCCTTCCTCCTCTAATAAGTAAAGACTTGGAGTTTCTCAAGCATTGGCACTGGGCCCTATTCATGCCTCACTCTTCATTTTCTTTATGTGAGCTCGTTTATTCACATCATTTACGTTATAGACACACACACACACACACATATTTATAAAATATAAAATTCCCAAATATGTATTTCTTTCCGAGATCTGTCTTCTGATCTTCAGACCAGATATCAAGTGCCTTCTTGACAATTTGGACATCTTATAGGCACCTCAAATTTAGTATGTTCCGTACTACTGTTTCGATCATTCACCGCAAATATTTCCCTTTTCGGTCTCCCCTTTGCTTCTTTTCCTTCAATCTGATTGGTCAGACTTAAACCCAAGTGCTCTCCTTGATGCCTCCCTTGGCTCTTACCATGTACCATTTTCCATCCTTAATTTCTTCCACATTCAAGTTCTGTTCTTAAATCTGTGTCTAAAACAACCTCAATTCTGGATACTTCTCATCACTTTACACTGTCATATCTAAGATGATGCCATCAATTCCCCACTTTGGTTTTCCGAAATTTCCTTCAAGTTGTCTCCCAACAAGTCTACTGTTATTTCTTCCTCAAAGCTGCTCTCCACAGAACAGTCCAGAGATCTTTATAGAATGGGAATGCGATCATATGCCACTCTCCGGTTTCCCATCGTTCAGAGTCTTCAGGGAGGGTTTAGTTCCTCAAGATCTGGCTCCTTTTACCTCTCTCACTTTATCTCCTACCAGTTTCCTCCTCTTTCAGTCTGTCAAGCTACATTGGTCCTTTCTCTGTTTCCTGTTAGTGGGGGCGATGGAGGCTAAATATAATTTTCTCGTAGAGCTGCTTTTCTGAGTTCTCCTTCACTCTCTTCTGCGTTCAGATTAGGCCTTGCTATTATATGACTTCATGGGACCTACATAACATTTAAATTTTATTCTATACCTGATCGTATGACCATTACATAACGTATCTTCACCTTTAGGAAGCAAATATGATTGTTATGTTTACAGCATTCTCTAGCAAAGTGCCTGGAAAATAGTAGCTCCTAAATAAATATTTGTTGGAAACATGAATTAAAGTATGTATATTTACACACACACACACACACACACACACACCCTAATTTTCTTGAAGACCCAGATTTATGCCTTGTTCATTTCTGTGTCTCCAGTGCCTGATATAGAAGTCATTTATTAGTTCATTTAATCTTATTTCTTTAACCATTGTTATAATCCAAATACTTATTGAGTTCCTGCTATTTAGAAGCTCTGGCCTGGGTGCCAGGAAAATGGATGTGATTTCTGTCCTCATGGAGTTTAGGCTAAGCATTGATAGATATTGGTTGGATGAGTAAAGTTTTTTTTTTTTTCATCTTAAATCATGATTTAGATAGTAGTTTTATTGCCAATAAGAAGGTTCTAATAGCCACTGTCAAAGGGGGTTAATATTTGAGAAAAGGAATTTTTCTTTGGTCTCAAAAGCAGTCTGAGGAGAAGGGAATTGGCTGCTATCTCGTCATGGAACTTCTTAGGTAATAATAGCGGCGGTCGTGGCATTCAGATTTAGGTCTGTCTTTGGTGCCAAAGCCTGGGCTCTTCCCACCAAACAATGATTTTTACACATTTTGACTGTGGACTCAAAGTTAAAAATAAATCTTGTGTCATGGCTTAGTGTATGTATACGTATGCGTGAAAAAACCAAATTTTTTAAGAAGCAAAATGTAGCCTTATTATGTGTGATGATTCTCGTACTTTCTATTCTGTTCTCTGTCATAGTTCTCCAATCCTGACTTGTAGTTTGAAAAACATTTCACTCTGATGATATCCTATGGAGTCCATACAATCTGATTTTCTTAATGCTATAAAACTAGGATAAAATTCAAGTTAGAAACTAGCCCTAAAATTTCTAATGGGAAATGGCTCTTTGGAGGCAACAAATTGAAGAGAACATGAAGAGACAGATCTGGCTCCAGTTACAAATTTGCCATTTCGACTGTCGTGTGATTTGGGGTAAATCATTTTCCTCAGCTACAAAAATGCATATTATAATGTATTCATTTGACATGAGAATAAACCTAGAAGAGTAAAAAATTTGTACAAAAATTTTATCTTCAATTTTCCTTAAAATAATTATTGCTAGCTGATAATAATATCACTCTTCCTTCCATGGATTGAAATAATGGATGGCACAATTAGGCTTCGCATGATCAATGTCTTGACAAAATAAATATTGTCTGCAGTAGGAGGTGGAGTGTACATCGGTGAAACAAGTCTGCTACTGTGCTAGACTGTTTAGTCATATTTAATGTGTTTACATGGCCTGGGTTTGCGTAAATCTCTCCTTCCTTACCGCTCTGTGTACATATCTACGTGTGTATATCATCGGGAACTCAGGCAAATATTATGACCTACTCCTCTCTGTTTCAAGGACTAATTATTCACCTGAATAAAGAATAATGACAAAACTTAAGAGAACTTTCGAATGGTTGTTGATAATACTTGCCGGAATAGGGATGTTTATTGGGCACCTGTTGATTTTCACATCCTATGCCCAAGTTGTTTTTTATTAAAGTATAATTGATATACAATGTTACATTAGTTTCAGGTGTAGAATGTAGTGA